CTTTGGACTGTTCCAGAGAGAATGATGTATTGCAAGCTGGGAGGAGAGCTGATTTATTTGTACAGCACAAGCCCAAAGGTAAAAAAACTATTTCGGAATTGATTTATTTTGTGCCCACATTATGTGTTATATCTTTTGAATGCAAAGTCTGATGTAGTTTACACTTGTATATAAATGTAGATAAGAAAATAAGCTTTAAAATGATATACAGCTTTTGGGGTTTGGTGTTCAAAATACATCTGCTATTGCCAGCAGAACATTTAAAAACATAAAAACGGCCGCCGGCGCGCCGGTTGTTGCAAAGTGGTTAAAAAGCAAACTTCAGGCTAAATATAAGAAAAATATAGTTGCACTGATTCTGTTGACTTATAACATTAAAACAGAGGAAATCATAACATTTGAAAGCTTGAAATATCAAACATATCTTAATAATGTTCCCCAACTCTGAAACTTTTGCACACAAAAAATCAATGCATAACAAATTAAGAATCACAGGGCCCATTTCCTCAATGCAAAAAAACTAAACTCGTATGGATTTGTTCATTAAATCACCTTCTGGGCACAACCAACACGAACTGTTTAATGCAATTAACGTTGGTATCCAGCTTAATATAGATAGTTTTAGTTCGGCGGCTTAGATCCATGGAGTAGACACGGACTGTTCCTGAGGGTCTCCGATGTATTCATTGCGTGCAGGTCACTCAAAGGCACGACGGAACAAGCAGTGACCGATACGGTGCGCGGACTGGGTCTCAGAACCACGCAGCCACTCTACGGTGGCGCGCTCGCGTGGTGGAGGCGGCGAACCGCTTGAGTACAATGCAAGCCCCAGGTCAGAACGTCAGCGGCACAGCGAAATCACTCTCCCGTCGAGTACATACAGAAAACAATTTATAACTATAGCCACGCGGTTACGCGCTCCCCCTCGGGACATTTCGGATTACCAAAAAAACGCATTTTGAACAGATTATTTGTATATGGCTTGGACGTAATGGGGGACACTAAGGCGGCTTTGTGTCCATTTACCCCCTTTCCCGCTGTATACCTACGCTTAGGTCAAAGGGAAGTCCGCAGTTACGATTAAACAATCAGGACGGCATGAGTTCTCTGTGGCCATATGTTCCACAATATATCTACCAAATATTTCATGCATTCTGGGTATATGTTGGACGTAACAAAGAGGACACAAATATAAATCTTACCTGTCTCTGTCATGAAGCGGTTCCGTGGACTGTGGTTTGTAAATGGTACTGACGTTCCTGTTGGTTTGTACAGGTACTGACGTCCTGTTGGTGTTGTAAGGAGTTTGTTGTGATACAATACCGGAAGTGCTAATACTTTTATCTGGTTGATGTTTGGACGAACAGTGGAAAATGACACGAAAAAGTTGTGAAAATGTCTCGCGGTGTTTCTGCAAATTTCATAGCACCACTCCTTTTCCAAGTGATTGGGGCATACCTAGGGCGCGTGGGCGATTTAAACGGTTATAAGGGTATGCGGTCTAAATAGGGCCCACGGTAGAGATTTTTGTTCTACCGGCAGTATTGCGATAGCTCATAATGTCATCCACATTGCGCCAGGCTCTGACGCAGCAGAAAGCACCAACACAAACCGGCATCAGGGCAGCATTTGCCTCGCCACATTAGCCTAGCACGACACCACTGGAAACAACAGCCAGGCTTTCACCACGTGTTTCTGTCTCTGTATTGGTCACAGCGGCCCCGCGGAGGTAATACACACACAGTAATCACAGTTTAAGCGTTCTACCATTCGGCATTCCGTGTCAAAGGGGTCGTAGGCTCGAACGCCAGCGCGTGAAGCCAAAATAGATTCATGCTTGTGCAGTGTCCGGCCATCATATCAGAAGTTTTGTAAAGTTAGCGTCTGATTCAGACTTTCCTTGCGGTCAATGATCACAAAAGCTTACTTAGTTAAACACAAAATTAATTGTGCCAAAATGAGCTTTGACATCAATTGTTTCAAATCAAATGCGCTGTTTTAATTCGATTAAATCATTTGGAATCATCCATGTCACGCCAGGGCTTAGGGAGCTTCCAACAAATGGCAAGACTAGCTTTGTACACGAACAATAGCTTTTATTCAAGCCATGCATACGCACTAAACTCTTACACTATTAAATATGACCATGTCTACCTGCTACAGATATTTTATATAATCTATTTTATATTTTTATATTATTTTAAAATATAATTATTATAAATATTATTTAACAGCGTGGGTTCTCTGAGAGGCCCGTGTGACCGGAACGGGGTCTTCCCTCAGCGGGTATACTTTGACTGCTGGAACACAGTTTCAGGCCCCTCCGTCAGTCGCGACCCTGTCCATTGAAGATAAATACGCCGTATATATCTTTGGCATCTTGGTGTTGGGGCTCTCCTTGTTTGGGTTGTGGTAGCGGTTCTCTTCTACCACCAATTCCGGGAGGGCATGGCAGTTCGCCAAGATTCACGACCTGCTGGCCGAACAAAATTGAGGGGATGTACAGGAGCTTAACCGAGTCGTGGTTGAGAGTGCCGTGTCTGGTACAAAGGAGAGTGTTTGGTGGCAAGTTGATCTAATGATCTTGCAGCTAGTTCACTCGATAGGGAACAAAACTCTGGAGCTGCGAATGCATGACATGGGTACGTTGGAGTCAGGCTTGAACTCTCTGACCCGGTTGGATTTGCCCCGGTGTACGGGGGTCTGAGGGCGCCGAATTCGGTAGTTAATTGGATTTAAATAGAAACTCTGCCTGTTTTTGACTGCGACATTGCAAATAATATTGTCCCTCTCAGGCGTATGTGTTTTGCTCCAGCTGTGTCTTATCTCCACTCTTATCTCACATTCCTCGGGGCCAGGCATAATAAAACAAGTCCGGACTATTACAACCAATCACCCCACTATTCAGTTTCAGTCTCCAGCTCGGATCCCGTTCACCCGCTCCTTACCTAATATCATATCTGGCTCCCTCCCCTCCCCCCTCCACTCCTCACTGTGTTTCCGACTCACCCCATCCCTGACCCTCCCCCCTCTGACAGCCAATGGGGCCGGCTTGTAGGTTAGTGTTTCATCCGAGAAAAACATTCCGTGGTTTATTAAAGCACAATAGTGTCTATCCAATCTGTCTGAGTAATCTGGTGTTATTTGATCTCTGCTGTTTACTCTACTGTTTGTCGCATGGCGCCGAAGATGGCGCCGTGCAATGAGCTCTGGTGTGTGTCGTCTTCTCTGTCTGGCGCACACGGGGGGTCGCTTGCATCAGTTTTTCCAATGTGGTTTTACTTGCACATGGCAAATTAAATGATACGAATCTGAAATTGCTTTCACAGTTAATGGTCTTTACTTGTACATACATAAAATAATGTATTGTTACAGCTTTTGTCTCTCACCTGATTTTCAAACTCAAAAAAATATATATCAGATTTCTATGTATAGATACGTAACAAATCTTGCCTATTTTATGCAAGAACCTGCTAAAACCTATATTGAACTTCACACCAAAAATATACCGTGATGTATAGCGGTCTACCGTCTGAGACCCAAATCATACCGCGATTTGAATTTTAGGCATATCTCCACCCTCTAGGCACTACTTAAACTCCTTTTTTTCATGCCTGCACTAGTAATAGCATACTAGAGCAGTTTTGGACGCACACTCGGTGGATCGTAAGTGTTTAGAAGTCCAAATTGCCCAGTTTTATCTGCAGTTATTTCATTATTTTGTTTGCAGTATGTATATTCTATGATTAGAGATTGTTATAGTTATAGTCCACAACATTAAATAGTCTTCTGTCCTGTTCGTTTCTTCCACTCAACCAAAAGCCTCCAACTCGACATGTCCTAAATCTAACAGTTAATGTCCCCAAATTTTCAATAATATTTTTTGCATTTTCTGGATTGCGTTTTGAGCTGTCCATCTGAGATTATACCATGTATATTAAATAAGATACATAGTATCAAAGAATTATGATTTAGGTACAAACATTTTTTGTTCAACATTTATTTTATTGCTGCTTCAAGTATATCTTACAGATTAGTGTGGAGTGACATCTGCTTGCTGGTTATATTATTTTATTTCTATTAAGAATACAGATGTATATAATTTAATGAAACTAAAACATTTTTAATTAACAAGCATTTCCATGCCAATGGAAGGTACTAGTGTATTAGTATACTATTGTTATTTCATCATCAAGTCACTCACATCCCAGTGGAAGCAGATGTTGGAGGTTATGGACTATGTGGGCTAAATGGACACTTATAATTTTATGGCATAAGGATTAATGCTATGCCCTTTGCCATTAATGGATAATCAAAGCCTATTTGTATGATTTCTGCAAAAAGTGCATCATAATAAATACCTCAAATGTCTTATCTCTATTGTTCTTATAATTTTAGTCTTCTAACTGGCCTTATAAAAGCAATAGGCATTATGTAGTATGCATAAACAGGGCGTTAGCCACTTAGCTCCGCAGCTATACAGGGCGTTAGCCACTTAGCTCCGCAGCTATTGACCAGATGCATTGACGTCATACAGTCACGTGACCGTGCATGAGCTGACGGCGGAAGTAGTGGAAGCTAGCATTGCGGTGAGAGCAAAAAAGAGTGTAACTCCGCGAAAAGAGCAAAACTGACTCCAACTCCTAAACATTGAGACTCCTGTCACAAATCGAGAGATGGCTGAATGTTCGATGAAGTTATCGACGGAAGTAGGACATCTCGTTGGGGTCCATAAAACGCGGTATTTGGAGAAGTTACGGATTGCCGAACTGGAAGTTGACCCGTACCTTCTCCCCCCAGTCAATTTCGTAGATTTAGTTAAATGCACAACATTGCCCGAATTCTCCCCGCATGATCTGTACCATTACGTAGTGAACAATGTATCTCCTTACACTGGTTCAGATTTAAAAGCGTACAAGAGCCTGGATGCATACCAGTTTTTTGTTGCTGGCTGGGTCACTGGGGCTCGTTGTCAAGAAAGAGGGACACGGTTCATCTTAATGGCAAAGGTAAGTAATTTCGATTGCATTATGGTGCCATTTATCATGTGTAAATTCTAGGGCTGTCAAACGATTAATTTTTCGCATAGTAATGGTGAGTGAACTCACTATTAATCGCATTTTTAACATTCTATTTCAAATCCACTCCAATTGAAGTTAAATGAGATTATAAATGTAATGACACATTGTTATTCAGACCAAATGTGCTTAAATCTGTTTGACTTGCTCACAACCTTCTACTTTTGGGTACAACCAACAAGAGCTTTGAATGGGAAACTGTAGGTATGTGTTTGTGAGTGCGAATGTGGGACAACGGACGCAAATTAGCCCAAGGCTACAATCCGGAGTGATATGTTAATTAACTTGTACTGTCCCACCCAAATAAACAATAAATAAATAAACCCCAGCTTTAATTTCTCCCATAATGCCAGTTTCTGATGATTTTTACTGAATTTTCAAGACCCACAGAATATTGTGTACTATGTTTTGCTTCACTGCAATCCCCAGTCGAGTAGAGGGAAGTTTTATTCATAGAGCAATGCTGCCATCTGCTGGCTTGAATTAACGCGTTAATTTTGACAGCCCTAGTAAATTCATACAATTATGATTAAGTATATTGTGTATCATGTAGATATTTATTCTGGGATACTGTTACTGGCTTATTATAATGTTAGGTCCAGTTATTCATAGTGTAATACTCCCAGGTAAGTAATGCTTGAACAGTGCTCTTCAAGATGCTTTTATTGACAAGCTGACAGAACAAGCTGCTGTTAGCCACTGCTCACGCTTAACTCAGAAACTTACAACATACACTACCGTTGTGTCAACTGGTGAGGAAAATCCCCCACCCCTGAAAAGCTCTACCATAACCAGAGCGCCCCCCCTGTGGTAGTAAACAGACAACACAGAACTATTAAAATTGATAAAGGTCATGTTATTGTTGTGATGAAAATGCAATGTTGTGCAAGTACAATACATAACTTTTCACACTTCGAAACATGGATCAATACCCCCTTCAGTTACATTTAGATGGGGGCTAGATGGTCATAGTAGATAGCACTTTCAAAATGATGACCTATTGTTATGTAAATAATACCTATTCCCTTTTCATACATGTTTTATCATGTGATTTCAGGTTCACCACAGCCAAGCACTGTCTGAACCTCCCCTAAAGCCCTGGGTGTCTCTCCAGAAGGATGGTACAGTGTTGTGTGGCCACTGCACATGTAAAGCAGGCCTGGGAGAGGTGTGCTCACACATCACAGCCTTGCTCTATGCCCTTGAGTCTGCAGTAAAATTCCTTCAAGATCGAATTTGCACTGATGGGCCAAGACAATGGGGACATCTTCCAGTGAAAGCAGGCAAAGCACTCTATGAAGAAGGGTTAGGAATTGACTTCACAAATCCGTCCAAAAAGCAAGCTGGAGTATCTAAGAAAAAAACATCAAAACAGAAACATACAGCGAGTGTGTCTGAAGGTGCCATAGCAAAGTTCTACCAAGATCTGGATAGTGCATCCCAAAGTCCTTCAGAGAAGAGTGGTCTCCTGAGTGTGCTACCAAAGTTCTGTGAGCAGTTCCAACCCAGAGTGTTATCCTTAAGTCTTCCACAGCCCCTAACAGAGTTGTACAACCCTCATCACCGTAAGCTGTCTGCTTCCGACCTAATGGTGAAATGCGATGATGCTTTCATCAACATAGAGGTCACACCCGAACAGGTACATATGAATCGATTAAGCCTATTAATTGATTGTATCATAATATATGATTTATCTTTTTGCATATTAAATGTTGTAGGCAGTACATGTTGAGGAAGAGACACGACAACAGGGACAGTCAAAGCTATGGTTTGACTTGAGGGCTGGTAGAGTGACAGCCTCAAGATTCAAGTCAGCAGCAAGAACAGATCCATCTAATCCATCCAAGTCACTCATCAGGCAGATTTGCTACCCAAGCCAGTGTGGTGTTTCTACTGCTGCTACAAGGCACGAGTGCTATGACTCAAACACACAGATGTTGTTTATTATGTTAAAGCCGGAGTACGTAGTAGTTATTGATTCACAAATACATGTTGTTTATCAGAACAGAAAGAAACTTAAAGGAATAGTTCACCGTTTTTACATACTGACATATGTTCTTACCTTTACCTTAGACTAGTTGATATGTGCCTGTCTGGTCTTTGTCCGTGCGCTCTGTCATGCAAACGGAGCACAAACGAGAGCACTAACGAGCTGATTTGGTTCTATACAGTATACAGCCTCCTCTGTATTGCTTATAGTACCAAATCAGCTCGTTTGTGCTCCGTTTGCATGACAGAGCGCACGGACAAAGACCAGACAGGTACATATCAACTAGTCTAAGGTAAGGTAGGAACATATGTCAGTATGTAAAAACGGTGAACTATTCCTTTAAGACAAGATTGACTTTATTGATCTCACAATGGAGAAATGTACATGTCACATTTGGCATAGATAGAATTACTCAGATTATGCAAAAAGATAGAAGTATGAAACCTGTTAAAATTAAACATGTTAATGTTAGATCCTCATTAACTCTGCTCAATATGCAACTGATATTGACATTATGTATGGTCTATCTTTCAGATGGGGATGTCAACAAGAGAAGACAGCAAGGCAGACGTATGAAGCCTGGGCCTCATCACAGCATCAGGACCTGCAAGTCTGTGACTCTGGTCTGCACATCCACCCCAGCTGGCCCTACCTCGGAGCATCTCCAGATGCCTTGTTGTCCTGTAGCTGCTGCGGCGATGGTGTGTTAGAGATAAAATGCCCACACAGTGCTAATACTGGAGTCCTCAGTGCCACAGACAATCCAAATTTTTATATTAGAAATACAAATGGTTGTTGTTCTCTTAGCCAAGATCATGCATACTTTTACCAGGTGCAAGCTCAGATGTTTGTGACAGAGCGAAAATACTGTGACTTCATGGTGTGGTCCGAATCAGATTATTTCATACAGAGGATCTTACCCGATGCTGCCTTGATGAGAGAAACAGTACCCAAAGTAGAACAGATGTTTAGGTCCGCTATTCTTCCAGAGCTATTGGCAAAAAAATATACATGCCCTTGCCCACAACCACAGTCTGATGAAAGGCTTAACTCCAGCATACTGGAAGAGAGTGAAGAGTAATGTGGCCTGATTTTGTTTTTGCTTTCCACTCAATATCATTTAAACAAGGCCTAATGTTTTATTGTGGCTCATTTATTTGTAGACCCGTTTGTCATTCTTAAATCAAAGTAAATGTAATAAAGAGGCTTAAAGTTATAGTTGCCATTATGAAATGTTTATTTTTACATACTTTCGCATCACATTACCATACAATCACATTGGTCAGGGTTGTCATTTACCCAGTTAAACAGACAAACACATCTTGAATAGATGGTACCGATGACAAAGAGAAATTAGATAACATGTATTTTACATTAATTGATTGGCACAACTGAGGGGCACAGATTGGTTAGTGCACATGCTACACGCACTATTTTGTCCAGAGTTGTGTACTCTGGATCATCAGTGGACAGGAGACTGATAGGCACAGGTCCATGCAACATCTTGTACTTGGAGCGAGCTTGTCCAATCACCCTCTCCACATGTATGCGCACAGCAGCAAGTCTTCGGGTGTCCTCCAGTTCAACTGCTCCGAGCTGTTTTTTTCCTCGTGTAAAGGCAGGGGTTTCAACTTTGGCACAATACAGACCAACCAAGTTCTGAATTGTAAAGCCTCGATCAGCAAGGATTAAGTCACCTGGTGAAAGGTTGTCCAAAAAGCCACTGTGCTCTGTGATGTATGCATCTGTTGTTCGACCACCCCAGCCCCTTGAGATGAAGGAGATAGTGCCTTGTGGAGTGATACTAACAAGGTATTTAATTGTGTTGTGGGATTTATACTGCGAATATGTCTGCGCCCTTGCCTTCAAATCCTTAGGTTTATCCATGAATATCTCAAAACAGTCAATGACTGCCATACAATGCTGAAAAGACTTTCTGAAACACATGGGCATGGACACTTTAACATGTTCTCTCTGGGGCCATATTACACACAAAGGAACTAATATATCATTGAGAATATGTATGACATTTGAAAAGACTCTAGAAATAGTTGAGGAGTGAACTTCAAAGAGATATGATAAAAAAGAATTTGGTATGTTGAGTTTGACTTTCATTAATGTAATTAGTAGCTGTTGGAAACTTGTCAAATTTATAGTGTCTTTGAGAGCTGGACTAACAAGGTTGAACACTGCCATGAATACTTCATAGCTGTGTAGTCCAGTTAGTGACTTCAGCTTGTCCTTGTTTTTCAAGCCATTCTGTTCAAAGATGTTAACATGTAGCCTCTGTTTAAGTTCAAATGTTTCCTTTCGAAGCATCTGACACTCCAGTGTTAACGACTCTATATGTTTTGAGGTCAGGTCAGTTTGGCACATTGCTTCACCTTCAGGCATGTCATTCTCAGTGAGCTGAGTGGTCATCTCGCTCATCTCTGATGAGAAGTTCGGGAGTGCCATAGCCGCCTCGCTTCTTGAAGACAGCAGGAGTTTCTTCTTCTTCAAGTTCTGTCTCACCTTGAACTTCTCAAGGCTTTGCACAGCACGTCTCCTTGCAGGGGACTTTGTATGTGCAAATACTGAAGGTACATAATCAGGTGACAGGGGATCATCACTCTTCTGTCCTGGAAAAGAGACACGGGTTCCTTATTTACAACAAAGTAGTAATTTACACACACGTATGATGTGTGGTAACGGTTACATCTACAGTGTAAATGTTGCTGGTATCATTAGCGCATTAGCAAAAAGTTCACTTTTCTGTCTACAGCCAAACATGCTAGCTACATATTGATGGAGAGGAAAATAGTGAGCTACAGCAACAACCGTTAGATGTGTCATTGTCCTCAAAGCATGAATGGAAAGACAATAAATACAAAATCGTAATTTATTTACCTTGTAAAAAGTGTTCACTGCAAATACGGGAGTACTTGGATGGCTCCCAGTCTTTGCGGTTGATTGCCGCCAACCATCGCCGTCTTCTATCTTCATCATGGCCCCCCGAAGGGGGCGTGACTGTTTACATCTGAGGCTTCTGTTAGAAGTAGACACTTAAATGAAAACACGGGTGAACTATTTATGGGAATGATCCATTTTGAGAACACATCATGTTCTACTGTAGATGAACTGTTTAACTCTGTCACCTCTAGTGTGTTGAATGTTCTGGACGCCATTGCCCCTGTGAAGGTAAAAATGGTCACAAATAAGCAAAAAGCCCCATGGATAAAAGCAGGCCCGGTCAGGGCACAGAAGCAAGAGTGCCGGAGAGCAGAGAGAAAGTGGAGAAAGTCCAACCTCCAGGGTGATTATAAACTCTTAAAAGAGAAGTTGTGTGAGTTTAACAGAGTACTACGTAGAACAAGAGAATTATACTTTTCTGAAACTATTGAAGGCTGCAGCAATAATCTGCGTGTTCTATTTTCAACAATCAATAGATTAACGAACCCCCCTGTTGAGTTGCCATTAGAACACTACTCCAAATCCAGGTGTAATGAGTTTGCACAGTTCTTCAGAGACAAGGTTCAGGGTATCAGAAATACCATCACCTCTACAACACAAGTAACAATGCAACATCCAGTGAGGCTTTGTGAGCTAGCTCAATTTGCACCTGTCAATGATGAAACTGTTAAAAAGATAATCACAGGTCTTAGTTCCTCTACCTGCAGTCTGGATGTACTACCTCCTAGATTCCTGAAGTCTGTTATGTGTAGTCTATTACCCTCATTGACACAAATAGTAAACATGTCTTTTTTATCTGGAACATTTCCAATGGCCCTGAAAAAGGCAGTCATCAGGCCCCTCTTAAAAAAGAGCAGTTTGGATGCTATGGTACTTGAAAATTACCGTCCCATCTCAAATCTGCCATTCATGGGAAAAATTCTTGAAAAAGTTGCCTACCAACAACTTACTGAATTTTTAATATCTAATGACTCATTTGACATGTTTCAGTCTGGCTTTAGACCACATCACAGTACTGAGACCGCTCTAGTCAAGGTAACAAATGATATTCGGCTTAACACTGATGCAGGAAAAGTCTCTGTTTTAGTCATGTTAGATCTGAGTGCCGCTTTCGACACCGTTGACCATGAGATTCTCATGCAGAGACTGGAGGACTGGGTTGGTGTTGCTGGTACTGCCCTAAGCTGGTTTAGGTCCTATCTAGAAGAAAGGAAGTATTGTGTGGAGATTGGAGACTATGTCTCAGATAATATGGCCCTGACCTGCGGAGTGCCACAGGGGTCGATTCTGGGACCTCTCCTGTTCAATATTTACATGCTGCCATTAGGTCAGTTAATTCAAAGTATGAAAGTGTCCTACCACAATTACGCTGATGACACTCAGATCTATGTCTCACTGACTGCAGGAGAGCATGGACCGGTGGACTCACTCCTTCACTGTATCCAGCGGATCAGTGAGTGGATGCAATGCAATTTTCTCCAGCTAAATGCGGACAAAACCGAAATGATTGTCTTTGGTCCCGAGAAACAAAGAGAGACCGTCATTTGTCACCTTCAGTCTCTCTCCCTAAGGCCTTTAAATAAGGTCAGAAATCTGGGAGTAATAATGGACTCTGACTTAAACTTCAATAGCCACATTGGATCGGTAACATCAGCAGCTTTTTATCATCTGAAAAATATTGCCAAAATTAAAAATATTGTGTCCAGGGCAGACTTGGAGATTCTTATCCATTCTTTTGTTTCCAGTAGGCTGGATTACTGCAATGGCCTGCTCACAGGTATCTCCAAACATGCAGTAAAACAGCTGCAGTATATTCAAAATGCTGCAGCCCGAGTCCTGACTAGAACCAGGAAGTACGACCACATTAGTCCGGTCCTCAGGTCTCTGCACTGGCTTCCCGTGGCCCAGAGGATAGACTTTAAAGCAGCTCTCCTGGTGTACAAGTCTCTCCATGGCCTTGCACCAAAGTACATCCATGATATGCTAGTCCCATATGAACCAGCCCGGACTCTGAGGAGCGCAGGGACGGGACTCTTGTTAGTGCCCAGAGTCAGGACTAGACAGGGGGAGGCTGCTTTTCAGATTTATGCAGCTAAAGTCTGGAACAGTCTTCCTGAGGATGTGAGACTGGCTGCCTCTCTGTCAATGTTCAAATCCATGTTAAAGACTTTTCTTTTTTCCTGTGCATACAACTAGAGAATTTTATCTTTTTAACACACCTTGTTATTTATTGTTGTAACTTTTTGTGTTTTTAACTATTTTATTGTTTTTAATTACTTGTGTGATTCTTATGTTTTTAAATTACTTATGTGATTTTAATGCTTTTTAATTACATATGTGTTTTTAATTGTATTTTAATGGTGATGATTTGTGCATTGTGTGGTGTGGACTGTGAGGCGCTTTGTGTTGCCCTGTGCAGGAAAAGCGCCCTATAAATAAAGATTGATTGATTGATTGATTGATCACGAGTAGGAATCAGGTAGAAGGAAACATTTGGCTTGTGTCCTTGCCTGTTTGTACACCCCACCGCACTGCACGATATGATCATGATGGCTCTTATGTGGTGAAACGGTCAAGTTTCCGATGTTCGCGGTAAAATGAATAGCAGTCCAGGCTTAAATAGCGATACTTCCGCCGTCTGTCAAGGTGAGGGGGCGTGGCCGTGACGTCACATGCACTGGGTCAATACAGGGCGTTAGCCACTTAGCTCCGCAGCTATACAGGGCGTTAGCCACTTAGCTCCGCAGCTAATCTAGGATACTTTGTGCTAAACAACCTGTGGCCAGCTGTAACTCTTCCCAGTATTAAGTCACCACGGCCCTGTCTCCTCTGTGGACAATATAGTTGCTGTAGATTTTCTGAACAAGTGGCTGCAGCACACATTCGCGTTAGCTTTAGCGTTAGCTCTGCTGCTAAACTAGGCTGCTTTGTGCTATGTGGTGACAGTGAAAACTCTCTCCTACCTCCGTGCGGGTGTCTCTCCATGTCCTGTGTCCCTCTGCGCGGCTGCTCCTCTCCTGTCTCCTTTGTGGATGTATAATTACTGCAGAAATGCATAAACTTCCCCTTGACAGAAAAGACACTTTGCTGTCCTTCCCCACGGAGCATGCGCAGTGCTGACTTAGTGTGTGGTTGTGTATATTTTCCCGCGGTTGTGTATAATTCCCCTTTTTCCCGCGCGGGAGAAACCCACCACTAGGGGCAGTGGCGGACACACAGATTTACTACTTTTCTCAGGTTTCTGGATTAAAAAGACTTTTGAGAAAACCACTTTTTAGGCATTAAAAAATGCATAGAAAACGATTTAGAATGTAATTTTTATGAGGACAGTAAAATGTCCTCCTAAACCGGAGGGTCCTCCTTACTCGGAGAAAAGTCTTGAAAATCGGCCTCGTAAACCAGAAAACAAACAAACACGCACGCACGCACGCACGCACACGCACACGCACACGCACACGCACACGCGCACGCACACACACACACACACACACAATAGATGGTCAGGGTGAGCAAAACACTCCCATCTAGAGGTAGTGGAATAGACTAAAGATCAAATATATACCTAAAATAATGTAGTAATATTTAGGTTAGGATTGTTATTGATGATACGTGATGATAGATAAAATAGACCAATTTCTTGGAAACACCACATTTGTTAACAAGGAAAAAAGTGTTTTGGAATTTGATTCAGTTAAATACTGATCTCACATCAAGTGCAAAGCATATTCCGTGAGAAAAATATTCACCTTCACCGATGAGGAAACAAAAAAATGTGTCTAAACTACTTTAAGATCTGTGTGTATCTCATCAGTGAGAATCTCATCAGTGACCCTTTTCTGTGTCAAGTCCAGCAGGATGAGGTATCCATGTTCTTACCACAGTTGAGGTGTTGCACATGATCTCCACAGGTGATTGTGCGCTCTGAACACACACATCCTGGAACAACAACACACACAGGTTTCAATACAACAAAAAACATGACATTGAAAAGGTCATTGAAAGTCATTAGATTGTAACTCAGCTATATATATATATATATATATATAGCATGGCATGTGTGCTGAACATGCAGGATGCTGTTGGAATGACTTCGAGAACTCAGTGCAAACGACATACGCTGTACTAATTGTCCTTTAAAGGTGTGTTACCAGGTGTAAAATTATAGTTGTACTCTTTATCCACATGATCCACGGTGAATGGATCAAAAAATATACTGACAACAAGTCACTTTGTTCCTAATGCCAAAAAGCAGACGTGTGCTTCTTACCTGTGTGGACGAGCAGGAGAACAGAGGCCACAACTGAAAAGAGCAGAGGCGTCATTCAACAAATTTCATTTAATTTCATGTTTCTCTACTGCATTTGAAGCACCTGTGTTACTGAGAATAACACCAGCCTAATACAACCATAAGAGTACACAGAGAGGCTTTACCATGGAGGTTACACAGGCCTTCAGAGGCTATACACCATGAGAACTTTGGAAACTTTTTTTTATAAAATTTGAACTATATGGAACTATAGAGCCGTTTTGGCCCAAGATACAATGTGATTGCTTCTAACAATCATACTGTTGTGATACAATTGTCAAAAATATAGCTAAATCTGAATCTTCCTTTTCATTTTAGATTTTATTGTTTGTTTTTAAAGCTTTGAATGGACTGGCCCCTCCTTACATCTCTGACCTCATTCAAATTTACCACCCGCCCCGCGCGCTTTGGTCCAGATTGTGGTGCCTAGGATGAGACTTAAAACCCGGGGGGACAGGGCCTTCTCTGTGGCTCGACCAAAGCCGTGGAGCGCTCTGCCCCCCTATATTCAAACTACTCCCTCTTGGAGTGTTTTAAGTCCTATTTTTATGCTCTGGCTTCTAACACTGCGTGAGTTGTATGGTCCTTTTATTCAATTTTATTTTATTTTATTATTCTATTTTTTTATTATTATTATTTTTTTTATATTTATACATACATGCACACGGTTTTCCTGATTTTAATTATATACTGTTTTACTATGGATTTGTTATAATTAGTATTTTCTTGTGGAGACTGTGTGCCATACAAAAAAGTGGTTTGGATTGGATCGGATAACTCTCAATGATAATATTGGAGTGAGATTGTCTGCAAAGCTGTCATGATACTCACAGAGACAGATGCGCTGCATGCTGAAGGCGTAGTGGTCGTGGTCGTGGTGCTGCTGCTGCTGCTATCCAGTGTTTTATACACAAATATGATGCAATATTCTCTTTCAAAACTGCACATCTCCTCCCACGTCTGGCCTTGTACTTTTAACATCGGTAAAATCAATGTCACGACCAAACAACCAAAGTTCAGTTGCAAAAGTCCTTACATCTCCTAACTTAGGAGCACTTGTTGAACCTTATATACTTTATATATATTTATATTATTTAAATACATTCCATTATATACAGTTCCAGACCACACAGATGTTCCATCTGTGAGAGGACAATGCCCTGAGGGTCCCCAGTACTGCAGACTACCACCTGAGACTCACAGCTGACTCACAACATACTGCGGAGAGGTATTTGATGGTCCATGCAGTGAGGTGACTGTCCACCAACTTCCCCCGCAGCAGTGCCGGTCTGATGGTATTGAAAGCGCTGGAGAAGTCAAAAAACATGACCCTCACGCGCTCCCAGCGGGCTCCAGGTGGGAGAGCGTTTGCTGCAGTAAGTACAGTGCCTTGCGAAAGTATTCGGCCCCCTTGAACCTTTCAACATTTCGCCACATTTCAGGCTTCAAACATAAAGATATAAAAATTACATTTTTTGTCAAGAATCAACAACAAGTGGGACACAATCGTGACGTGGAACAAAATTTATTGGATAATTTAAACTTTTTTAACAAATAAAAAACTGAAAAGTGGGGCGTGCAATATTATTCGGCCCCCTTGCGCTAATACTTTGTAGCGCCACCTTTTGCTACAATTACAGCTGCAAGTTGCTTGGGGTATGTCTCTATCAGTTTTGCACATCGAGAGACTGGAATTCTTGCACATTCTTCCTTGCAAAACAGCTCGAGCTCAGTGAGGTTGGATGGAGAGCGTTTGTGAACAGCAGTCTTCAGCTCTTTCCACAGATTCTCGATTGGATTCAGGTCTGGACTTTGACTTGGCCATTCTAACACCTGGATACGTCTATTTGTGAACCATTCCATTATAGATTTGGCTTTATGTTTTGGATCATTGTCCTGTTGGAAGATAAATCTCCGTCCCAGTCTCAGGTCTTTTGCAGACTCCAACAGGTTTTCTTCCAGAATGGTCCTGTATTTGGCTCCATCCATCTTCCCATCAATTTTAGCCATCTTCCCTGTCCCTGCTGAAGAAAAGCAGGCCCAAAGCATGATGCTGCCACCACCATGTTTGACAGTGGGGATGGTGTGTTCAGGGTGATGAGCTGTGTTGCTTTTACGCCAAACATATCATTTTGCATTGTGGCCAAAAAGTTCGATTTTGGTTTCATCTGACCAGAGCACCTTCTTCCACATGTTTGGTGTGTCTCCCAGGTGGCTTGTGGCAAACTTTAAACGAGAGTTTTTATGGATATTTTTGAGAAATGGCTTTCTTCTTGCCACTCTTCCATAAAGGCCAGATTTGTGCAGTGCACGACTGATTGTTGTCCTATGGACAGACTCTCCCACCTCAGCTGTAGTTATCTGCAGTTCATCCAGAGTGATCATGGGCCTCTTGGCTGCATCTCTGATCAGTCTTCTCCTTGTTTGAGATGAAAGTTTGGAGGGACGGCCGGGTCTTGGTAGATTTGCAATGGTCTGATACTCCTTCCATTTCAATATATTTGCTTGCACAGTGCTCCTTGAGATGTTTAAAGCTTGGGAAATCTTTTTGTATCCAAATCCGGCTTTAAACTTCTCCACAACAGTATCTCGGACCTGCCTGGTGTGTTCCTTTGTCTTCATGGTTCTCTCTGCGCTTTAAACAGAACCCTGAGACTATCAAAGAGCAGGTGCATTTATACGGAGACTTGATTACACACAGGTGCATTCTATTTATCATCAGTCATTTAGGACAACATTGGATCATTCAAAGATCCTCACTGAACTTCTGGAGTGAGTTTGCTGCACTGAAAGTAAAGGGGCCGAATAATATTGCACGGCCCACTTTTCAGTTTTTTATTTGTTAAAAAAGTTTAAATAATCCAATAAATTTTGTTCCACTTCACGATTGTGTTCCACTTGTTGTTGATTCATGACAAAAAATTTAATTTTTATATCTTTATGTTTGAAGCCTGAAATGTGGCGAAATATTGAAAGGCTCAAGGGGCCGAATACTTTCGTAAGGCACTGTAGATGACGGCGTCCTCTACTCCGATGTTGGGTCTGTAGGCGAACTGCAGCGGGTCCAGGGTGGGGCTGACCACAGAGCGGAGATGGGTGAGGATGAGCCGCTCCATGGTCTTCATCAGGTGGGAGGTCAGTGCGACTGGTCTGTAGTGAGCCGGTTCCTTGGCGTGCGCTATTTTAGGAACCGGGATCAAACAGGAGGTCTCCCACAGGACAGGGACCTTCTCCAGGCTGAGGCTCAGGTTGTAGATGTAGCTGAGGACCTCAGAGAGCTGGTCTGCACAGGTTCTCAGCAGCCTGGGACTAATCCCGTCCGGTCCTGCAGATTTCCTCTGCTTCAGTTGCTGTAGCTGACTCCTCACCTGGTCCGGTGTGATGGAGAGGGGGGGAGACCGGGGTGTTCTGTCAGAAGTGGGGGCAGGAGGGCCCGGGGCAGCGTCCACTGGGCTGGGGACGTGTGAAGAGGTGGGGGCGGGAGGGGGGGCAGATGGAGAGGGGGGAGAATCAAACCGGTTGAAACACTGGTTCTGGACAGCCTTTTGCTCTCCTCAAAGAGACACAGTAGAGACAATAATGCAAACTGTTTAGACAAATATGTAGATTAGCAAATGTATGTGTTATCCTAATAAGTGTGTTCTGTTTTGTTCTGTACACAGCCGCTGTGTGGACTAACCCAGGTTGCCCAGGTGGCGCTGTGAAGTAAAGTGTTTGTGAACGATCACATCCCACCTGAGAGGCACTAATAAAACGTTCATTAAAATATAGCCTCAAAGAGTGCCTTAAAACACTAATATTAAAACTTGCAATCACATGACCTGAAAGGGAAATTATTTGAATACTTTTTTGTATAGTTTCTGCCTTGTATAGTTTGAATTAGTTATCAATTCAATATTTTCAACAATGGCTGCTATAGCGTTGACAGTGGAGCTAGTCACTCTGGGATTAACAGAACCCATGTCCAGGAAGAAGGTTCTGATAAATAATTATATAAATTGAGCAAAAATTATACTTCTAACAACATTTGAGGCGAGAAGTATGACCCTCTATTGTCATTGCGGTGATTTGTTTAGTGGTTAATTAAAAAAGATTAGACTCTGCAGTGTGTTTGAGGCTGCAAATGCTACACAGGCCAATGCATTTCTTTTGTTCCTTTTTAGGTATTTTCCTAAAGAATTACACCTGGTTGAGAAATATATTCTAGAAAAATAGAGACTCCATTAGTTCTCCACTTGATACGAGCAGTTGCTACAACTGTACACGCCACAGAAATGGAGCATTTTGACTCAGAACCAGTGAAACATGGTTCTTAATGGGGAGATTTACTTCCTGTCTTTCTGAGGACTTAAGTGCCACTGCGCTGACTACAGCTGCAACCCAACAATAATGAGTTTGTTGCTAAACCTCTGCTCTGAGAAAGCACTGCAGCAACACAACCATCACCTGGACAATTGTGTGCATTAATTTGGTTTCTATAGAAAATGTATTGTATTTTTATCTTCTATTTTACAATAAAGAGCAATTCAAGGCCCGGGTGCAGAGCTGCTCTGCCACAGCCTCCGAGCCCCCATCTGTTCAGTCAATAGTACAAACTGTGTGTGTGTGTGTGTGTGTGTGTGTGCCTGTGTGTGTTCAGTTACTAGCCATAGAACCTAGTTGGATTGAAACTGTGTGTGTGCCTCGCTTAGAGTCTAAAACACAGAAATCTGACCTGGGTGTCAAACACACTAACCAAGTAAAAGTTCAGATAGACAAAAATAGTTCTAAAAGTAGGGTTGTTAAATGTGGATTAATGAACGTCAGATCTATCTCGTCTAAATCGCTTCTTATAAACAAACTTATTAAAGACAACAACTTGGATTTATTTGCGGCTGGCTGGCTTTAAACAGAACCCTGAGACTATCAAAGAGCAGGTGCATTTATACGGAGACTTGATTACACACAGGTGCATTCTATTTATCATCATCAGTCATTTAGGACAACATTGGATCATTCAAAGATCCTCACTGAACTTCTGGAGTGAGTTTGCTTTTATTTTTTTGTCATGAATCAACAACAAGTGGGACACAATCATAAAGTGGAACAAAATTTATTGGATAATTTGAACTTTTTTAACAAATAAAAAACTGAAAAGTTGGGCGTGCAATATTATTCGGCCCCTTTACTTTCAGTGCAGCAAGCTCACTCCAGAAGTTCAGTGAGGATCTTTGAATGATCCAATGTTGTCCTAAATGACTGATGATGATAAATAGAATGCACCTGTGTGTAATCAAGTCTCCGTATAAATGCACCTGCTCTTTGATAGTCTCAGGGTTCTGTTTAAAGCGCAGAGAGAACCATGAAGACAAAGGAACACACCAGGCAGGTCCGAGATTCTGTTGTGGAGAAGTTTAAAGCCGGATTTGGATACAAAAAGATTTCCCAAGCTTTAAACATCTCAAGGAGCACTGTGCAAGCAATTATATTGAAATGGAAGGAGTATCAGACCATTGCAAATCTACCAAGACCCGGCCGTCCCTCCAAACTTTCATCTCAAACAAGGAGAAGACTGATCAGAGATGCAGCCAAGAGGCCCATGATCACTCTGGATGAACTGCAGATAACTACAGCTGAGGTGGGAGAGTCTGTCCATAGGACAACAATCAGTCGTGCACTGCACAAATCTGGCCTTTATGGAAGAGTGGCAAGAAGAAAGCCATTTCTCAAAGATATCCATAAAAAGTCTCGTTTAAAGTTTGCCACAATCCACCTGGGAGACACACCAAACATGTGGAAGAAGGTGCTCTGGTCAGATGAAACCAAAATCGAACTTTTTGGCCACAATGCAAAACGATATGTTTGGCGTAA